ATCTGAAGTCTGAGACGATGATCTGGTCATGGAGAGGTATATCTGGGTCTAGGCCATATAAACCCACTGGGGTGACCTTGGAGAAGCCACACACTCTCAGACTCAGAGGATGGCAATGGAAAAACCCCTCTGAAGAAACTTGCCAAGAAAACCCCATGATAGGGTCACTCTAAGTAGCAAATGATTTGAGGGCACACAACAACAGCAACTTGTCCCATCAAACCTCCCTGAGAGGGTTGCTGTGAGGTGGTCAGAGGGTGGAACGTGTATAGTGCTGTAAGATTTTAGAGCAAGGATGTGGAATGTGTGGTCCAGCAACATTGTTGGACTGCAACTCCCATTGATCCAAGACAGCAAAAACAGTGATGATGGGGATTGCACTTCACAACTTTTGGAGAGGCACATTGTTCCTGCCTTGGAGAAAACCAAGGGGGGAAATATAATTCCTTAATGCAGTTCCCATCATCCCTAACTGCTGACAGCTGGCTAGAAATGATGGAATGTTGCAGTCCATGAACATGTAGAGGGCTATATGTCCCCCACCCTAACCCTAACATCAACACTGGAATAACTGCCTAATACAAGGTGGGCAATTGTTGGAATTTAGGATGCTGCATTAGCCCCACCCAATCCCTATTCCCACTTTTGCCCCAACATGCCTTCTAGGGATCGTGTGATGTATTTGCACCATGTTTTAGCCTCCACCACTGCAAAGCTTTTTTTTTTTTTTTAACAAAAGGAAGTGATTAGGAAGCCATTTTCTATCTCCTCCTCTTTTTTTTAAGGAAAGGCCTAATACAAAAGGACCTAACACACACACAAAAAATGCCAAATTAAAATGGGTTCGAAGGGCACATTCCTAATCAGAGCCTCTTCTCTAATTTATATTCAGCTGGTATTGACCCTGAGCAAGTCACACACTCTCAGCTCAGAGGATGGCAATGGCAAACCACCTCTGAACATATCTTGCCATGAAAACCCCATGATAGGGTTGCCATATGTCAGAAGCGACTTGAAGGCACACAACAACAACACATTAGTATAGGAAGAAGCTAACAGCAGGACAGAGGAAAGCTTGGAAAGATGCATGCTGCCAGCCAGTCCCAATCCTTCCACATCTTGGCTGCCCAAATGCCTTTTCTAGCATTACTGTTCTCTCCAATAGCCAGCCTTTTGCAGATTTGGTCAATCTTCTGCTACTCTGAACCTCTTACAATTTAAGGCCAGAGCTTGGAAAAGTTAATTTCTTTGACTAACACTCCCAGATTTCCACAGTAGTTGACTGCAAGATTCTACCAGTTGTTATAAGCATTTTTTCCAGTGTCTTAAAACCTACTATATATTCTTCTTGCCATCCAGAATTCTCTTACAGACCAAAGCATCTGACCTTGGCCATCCTATCAACCAAAAATCTCAGTCATCTAATTTTCCTTTTCCACAGGGCAAAATTTTCCACAGGGCCAAATTAAACTGGCCTCCCAATTGAGAATCCAAAGGCAGATTCTCAATTTTCTCCTAACTACATATTTAATTTCATCACCATCTTACCTTTCCACCAAGAAAAGGACTCAAGATGATTAACCAACAATCACTAAAAACAAGTTTATCAATGTTTCCAAGTTTTAACATACTTTTCAGGATCTCATACACAACACAATTTCATAGTGGGTGCAGGCGTGCCAGAAATGAAGGGATGGCTATTTCCTACTTGGCTGAGACCTTTTTTAAGACACCCTGCTCCCAAATTCACCAGGCACAGTTAGATTACTATCTTTATAGACCAGTGAGTAATTTTTTCGTGCTGTAACACGATCTGGGCCCTGATCCATCAGCCACCCCCTGTGAGCACCCAGTTATAGAGTATTGTTCTTGGAAACAGTCAGAGTGCTGAAATTCTGGATTTGGGAACTTCTGCTTCACATCACCACTGAGCCATGAGGCTACCTTGAACTAGTTGCACACTTAGCCTAACCTAACTCACAGGGTTGTTATGAAGATAAAATAGGGGGAGAGATATATATACCACCTTGAACTGATTGAACAAAAATAGGATATAAATTACACTAACAGACACACACACACACACACACACACACTGGTATTCTATGCCAAGAGAGGGCACCAATGTGGCTTTTCTGGGGCTCAGTGACTGGGGACTGGGGACCCAATGACAGAGCAATATGTGATGCCATCAGATGCCCAAACAATATATTTGGGAATACAGTGGAACCTCTACTTACGAAATTAATCCGTTCCAGCAGC